TGGAAGACGAGAGACAACGAAGGTGAGAGAGAGAACGGGGACACGTGGTATTCAACAGCTGCCGTTGAACGTGTTCAATGCCGCGGTTGAAGCAAGAAAGCGGTCGGTCGGTTGGTCGCACCGCTCGGCTTCTCGCAGACGACGGTGGGGATGGAACCGTGTGGGCCGGCCGGAGCGGCAGTGCTCTCGCTTCGTGTTCCTCGTGGACCTCAGTCTCTCTCTACACGTACTGGGAGGTATTGCCATCGTCGAGCCGGTTAAACACGGTGGTATTCAGACTTTGCGGCTTTGCGAGCTCCCACTGCGCGAGAGACAACGGCGACGGCGACGGCGGCACCGGGACTGGTCGACGCGCGTCAAAGAGAACGGGAAAGAGAATGTGGGACGAGGGACAACCGCCGGCCGGAGGTTCACCTGGTGGCATCTCACCCGCCGGTTGACAGCAAAAGGAACGAGTGTGGATCGGGTTCGCGCCTCTTTGAACCGTCCGACTTAACAAATGGTCCGCCTCCTCTCGCCTGCGTGAGTTTCCGCTTCCGCGATAGTATCGGAACGCTCGACTTACCACGCTGGCGAAGTAACGAGAGAACTGTGACATCGACGCGTCATATTAAAGTAATATTATACATCATATAAAATATGTTTATTTCGTCGAACTTACTTCCATAGAGGAATGACAAAAGAAGGAAATTTAAGAGAAAGAAGAAGGGGAGACGCGTAATTCGATCATCGAGTATCGCCGGGAATTAGGAAATGCGAAAAACTCTTAATGATCGTTTAATCCACAGTTCTTTTCTCAACATCACGGTTCCAGAGTAATCTCGAAACACGAGTGACTACAGGGGAGTTGCACGCCGCGAATGTATGCCGGATATAATCACGACGTCGGTAACAGAGGTCGTTCCGTGAGCGAGACCATCGGAAAATGGGTGTAAAAAGGGTGTACAGCGACTGCGTGTACGGTTGACAGACGACAAGTAAAAAGCGAGAAGCAGCTCGGTACTCGTTAACCGGTTTCCGCGGATCGGCATGCAGAGCGACACGTAGTCAGGGCTACACACGCCATCAAGCGTGGACTCACGATCCTTCGTGCGTGTGTCGCGCGTAGATCTGGGATCCCGCGGGTCCATTACGTCGTCATGCGATCGTCGTCACTCGCTAATAACATCGTATCCTCTTGCGGGAGACTCGGAGGATCGGCGGCCGCAGAGGAAGAGCCAGCTTCGAAATGACGACGGATTCTCGACAGCTTTTCTCAATGGATGTTCCTTCGGTGTTACTACATTTCCGTTACCGAACGTACAAATACCGGCGTTTCCATTCGCGTTAATCGTACGAGGTTCTTCGAGTGGTGCTCATCCGTGTGCTGCTGTGAAATATAGATTGGTATTTAGTGATTTCAATAGACACACGTCATATTTTTGGAGAAAGATGTTTGGATGCGGCAAAACGCTTTAGCGTGCCTACATACCAGTGCTTCATGCATTAGAAAGTACGTGGTACAGTGTCGTGAATAACGTGTGATCGGAAATGTGTGGAATATCGATGTTAGAAACGCGAATGACCAGTGGTGAATCGTGTGGTAGTGCACAGCCATTCCCAGATGTGACAGTAATGTTGGATCGTTGCCTTGCCATTAAATCTAGATAAAGTCCGATCGCCGCTCGGTCTTCGTGTGCGGTCGGCGCTCAGAGAGGGAATATCTCCTTTTGTGAAAGTTAAGGGTAGCGGTATACAAGAAAATTCGACACGATTCAGAAGGACAACGTGCAAGTACAACGGTCGCTGTGGCATGAGGAGGCTTGCACGCAGGCGCAATATCCTAGCCGCATTCTTTGCGATTATGGGACGCCTTGGTAAAGGCTCGCAGAGTGCAACGAGGCCCATTTTCAGGGTGCATTATCGCAAGCTCGTGGACGAGTACTCGCAGCAGGAACAGTTGAGGTTCATGCCCGCGTTACCTGACTACATGTCGTATTGCTGTTGTCGATGTGGTCATACCCAAAAGCTCAAAGTGAGTTCTACTAGAACGGGCCTGATCATGCAAATTCAATTTTAAAACTCGTCGCGTCCGCTTATGATCGTTTCTTCTTACCTCGAAATTCAAATAATTCGTTTTTACGCTCATCCAGTGAGAAAAAAAGATAATTTCCGCTCCTAAATAATAGCAAATACCTTTTTTCGTCCTGCATGCATAACAAGATGATCTGGATATCGCCTCGACGCTTTGTGACGCAAGCTTTACCTTCTGCGATATTAACGGATCGCGATTAGGTCGCGGTACCGCAACATGACCCTCGGAGATGTGATCGGTGCAACGGTTAGAAAAAGGAAAAAAGTGAAACGATCCTCTATTATTTCACCAATGCAAAACGCAATCATTAATGGCTAGTGTCATACAACTCATCAAATTTGTCCAATATTTTTTCAACGCGAAAACGTAATGTTCAATATAGGCATAATAGGTTAAGTAAGTTGAAAATGTAATTCAAATGAGCATTAATTAAGTTTATGGATTCATGTCGAAATTGTTCTTATAACTTCTAGTCGTTCAACTTTCTAACACCTACGTTCGTCAATTCTATCGGAGTCATTCAATTTGTTACGTATACGTGTCTCTCTGTTTCTTCAAGATTGGAAAGAGATTGGTCCAGGTTTGATAGTCACATTCCAGGATCTGCTAAAAGAGAGCCATCACATCGGATAGATTGCATACTATAGTCTGAAAGAACGAGAGAGAAAGAGGGAGAGAGAGAGAGAGAGAGAGAGAGAGAGAGAGAGAGAGAGAGAGAGAG